CAGATGCTTTTCTTTTCAGTATTTTACACTCTGTTAAAAAAGAGAATGTGAATAATTGTCCCGCAGTTTTAATATAGATATACATAATTATAAATACATTTGTTTCATGTAAATGTCTTAAAATCAATTTTGCTTAAAATAGAAACAAAACAACTAACTCTCATGGCTTTTTAATTAATAATGTGTTAACTTACTAACAATTTAATGTCCTGTTTTCATGTTCCTGCTATACAAAATTATTTGTGATCTGTCAGAATTTACTAGTTATTATGTTAATAATTGCTTCTATAGCAACAAGATTATCAATTTTCATATTAAAAATCTGTAACAGATTGTCCTTGTCAAGGCAAATGTTTATATATATATATATATATATATATATATATATATATATAAACATTATAACAATTAGTAGTCTAGGTTTCATGTGAAATAAGGTTGGTCTACTTTTTAAAATACCATCAACAGAATTTTAATTGTGATGAAAATGATCAAATAATAAAAGTAAGCTATTGAGGACTTGCCATATGGAACTTTAAAAAAAATGGGTCTTAATAAAAGTTTGTAGTCAGCTGATAAAAAAATCATGATGCTTTATCTAGAATTTTCTTTAAAAAGAAACATAAAGCATGCTAATTTTCTATAAACTAAAAAAAATTTAGATATTTATACAAAATATTTAGATACTATTTGCTTGAAACAATAAAAATATATTTGGGTATTGAAGAACTAATATGTTAATGAAAATACTACTTTTAATAATTTGGCTAGATTATTGAGAATATTTCCCAAGCTGGGGCATGACATGAACACCATACAAATTTACAGGGAATGGTGACTGACAGTACAGCTTGCCAGCCACAAAAATTTAAAATGACATTTCTCCACCAATTTCTAGGGCCCTTTAACATCCAAGTTTAACTCTCCTTTGAACTTTTCTCTAGCATGTACTAAGACTATACTAAATATATCTTGAGTGTGACATATCTAAATCATATCAATGAAAAAGATGAACATTTGCAAATGGCAAATGCTTTATCTAGAATAGGGCTAATATCAATTATATTCAATGTGATCTACTTTAGATTATCAAAAATCTAATAACATTCACAGAGTATGAATCCATGACTGAATCTTATATACAAATGCTACACTATATAAATCCACCCCAAGTCTAAGCCATAGATAGGACTTTTTGCTGAAACAAAGATCATAAACCATAACCACAATTCTTTTTGGATAAAGGCTGAAAGACTTGGGGTCAGGCTGGATCAAAGTCCACACATGCTTTCTTTCTGTCCAACTAATATGCAAGTACAATATTGATCTTACGACATTCATGAAGCAATTTCTGAAGCCTGGTTTTAGAGTACTATTAGGCCCTCTGATCCAATTGACATCTTTTCATTCATTTGACTTACTTCTTGGCAGAGGGGTAGGCAGTATTCTCCAAATCCTCTCAAGAAGAGGAAAAAGTATTCCAGGCACTCTTGATACATTTCAATTTACAGACAGAATAAACCAAGGTAAATTATGCTCACTACTAGAGCTAAATTGTGGAGTCCTTTCAGTGTTGATTTTTATTTCACTAGAGTGAAAGGAGTTAATGGTAAGACAGAATTTGTCCCACACTTGGCAAGATGGGAAGAAGACTGCAGAGGCAAAAAGCAAGATAATCAGGAAATCTAAGAGAGAAAATAGGAACTTGATGTTGAAGTATGTGGGCATCATTTCACAAGAAGGGAAGGAAGTCATTTAGTATTAATGATGGAACAGAGTGACAAAATATGGCACAGAACTGAAAAAGAAAATGTTTTTGATATGAATAAGTCTGAATAATCTAAGGGATGCAAAGTTAAATACACTGAATGAAATTTCTTTTAAAAGATAAAAGGAGTGTAAAAAAAGGCAGTAATAATGTTTTGTGTATTTAAAAAAATAATTTAATGCCTTTTAAGTCCATATGGTTATTATCAAAACAATCACTTCTTTAGCCAAAAAATATGTATACATACTTTGTAATTTGCATAAATGCATGCTTCTAAACCTGGCACTTTGTACAGGTATCTATAAGGTATGTGATATATTTAAACCTCAGCTAATGCTCACACTACAGTGACTCTCTGTTTCTTGGATTTGGATAAAGTCAACTAAAGTTCTGGCCTTGCAATAGTGAAGTGTCACACACAATACTTGTCTAGGAAATGTGTATTAGCTCCATCCTCAAAACCAGAGTTAGAAAGGAGTCCCACTGCATTTCTCTCAAAGTCTTGTATCATTAGTTTGCATCTAAAAGGTATCATTTCACAATCTTAAATACTGAAATTTTGGAATTCTGATTTTTTTCAGATTATACTTTAACGCTTCTATAAAATTATTTAAGTTTTATCAAAGTAATAATTGTGGATATATATAATAAAAATGTGATTTTGGAACATATTTCACATAAGGAAGAAAATGTCATACTTAAATTATAATGACTTGAAAAACAAAATATGTTTAAACTGGCAATTGGTGGTAGTTTTAATTTATCATGTTTGTAGTTAGAGAAACTTCTTTTATAGAATTCATGAACTATGAAATTGCAGTTAAAACTTTCAGTAGAAATTAACTTAATATTTTAAGCAAGTATACAACCAGGTTATTAAGTAACAAGTATTAAATATTATTTGCTACATTTGAGCTCCTGATAACCAATTTCCAGAATTACTATAATTTCAGAAATTGCTACTTTTTTTTTTAGGTATGTTATACTTGGTTTTATATCTTTAGCTTCTGATTCCCCCAAATTTAAGGGGATGACACATATTTGTTAACACTATTATTCTACTGTCTCCATTGATATATATGTAATCAGTTGCTTTAACTCTGCTGTTAAATTATTTAAATGGGGCCAGCCACAGTGCTCAGACTTGTATCCCTAGCATTTTGGGAGGCTGAGGCAGGAGGATCACTTGAGGCCAGGAGTTTGAAATTGGTCTGGGCAACAAATGAGACCCTGTCTCTACAAAAAAAAAAGAAAGAAAGAAAAGAAAGAAAGAAAGAGAGAAGAGAAGAGAAGAGAAGAGAAGAGAAGAGAAGAGAAGAGAAGAGAAGAGAAGAGAAGAGAAGAGAAGAGAAGAAGAAAGGAAGGAAGGTAGGAAAGCAAGCTAGCTGTGGGTGGTGGCTTATGCCTGTAGTCCCAGCTACTGGGGAGGCTGAGGCAGGAGGATCACTTGAACTCAGGAGTTTGAGGTTGTAGTGAGCTATGATTGTGCCACCATACTCTAGCCCAGACAACAGTGAGACCCTGTCTCAAAAAAAAAAAAAAAAAAAATTTAAATGGCATGAGTATTTTAAAGTGCATTATGGAATTTTAAGGCTATATTTATAAACAGATATTAACATAAACCAATAAAGCTGACCACAAGAAAAATTACTTTCAAAAGTTGGAATAGATTTTATCCACAAATATGAAAGAATAAGAATACAATCCAATGTGAAGACTCACATTAAGGCATATGTGCAGCTTGCTTATAAAATTAAAATCTAAAATGGTTTTGGCATAAATGTTCTTATTTTTTTTACTTAATAAAAATACCAATTAATGTTTTTAGGCCACTTTTTATAATCATAAATTTAACAGGCAGTGTAAAAGTCTAAGATTAAAACCATTATATTTAACGTGTATAGCTGGATTGATGTTTTGGCAGATGCACTCTAATTTGACAAAGGTCAGGAAGGAATGCCAATGCTTTGCATATGCCAGAGTGAGTGTTTCACCCCCTCCTGTCTCCTTCTCTTTTAGTAAAGAGGAGTAGCTGGAATAGCAGAGGTGTGGGGGAAAATGGGCTTGGAAAGGGGAACCCAGTACTGGAAAAGATTACAGTGGTTTGCACGTATTTCAGGGGAGCACTGGGTCATATATTTGGGTGGCAGGATTAAAAGATGAAGGCTCAAATGGGGCCTTGGGGACTCAAGAGACGGCAGTGTCATAGAACAAGGAATTTCCTAACAGGCATCGCTGAATCTTGATACCACAGCAGAGAAAGTACAATTAAAGATATCATGTTGTAATCTAACTGATGTTTAATTATCTTTGATTGTTTTCCTCTCTGTTCACTCTTGGGATACAATAGCACCTATGAGAAAATCAAGGTGGTAGCAATAGGATGTTTCTTGTACTGAAAGGTCTGACCTCTCTTCTTATGTGACATATAAAAATTCCTAAGGAACTGTTGGGATTCATTGTAAAATGAATGTCTTATCTTATTTGCTAATTTATAATCATCCCACCAAACCATACATAATCTATTTATTTTTCCATAAATTATTATGGGCATTTATAATTGCCAACATATTGCTTCCTACTGTTCACGATGGTGTAAGTAAGTTCCTCTCTGTAGCAACATGCACAAACATGGATAGTGTTTTAAAAAATGTGACAAACATCAATTTGGCTTGGGTATTTCATCTATATCTCTCAAGTTTTCAAACTAGGCAATCCAAAGTCAATTCATCTTTCTCACATTGTCTGACAGACATCTCACCACATTTTATTTTTACTGGAAAAAGATTTTCTCTTATAAGATTTGGCAAGATATTTATTTGGCTAATAAAGCAGGGAGGAAATTATCCTTCAAAAGATGCTTTTCTTTAAAAATTATGCTCTCCTGTGCAATCTTTCTTTTTATCCAACAAAGGGTCTCAAATATATTTCTATGACCTAATTTCCTGAAAAATGCATTACAAATTTTATTACAAATATCTTGTAAAAACAAAACTTAAAATCTTATGGAAATGTTCACACAAGGTGACAAAAATATATGCAAAGGGGTTTTTTACTGAAGCTTTGTCATAGAGAAGTGAAAACAATACTGATGTTCATTCCACAAGGGACTAATTCAGTAAATTAAAGTATAACCCCAGAATATATTATGTAATAATTTACAAAAGAATGAGGTAAATCTATTTAAACTCATAAGGAAAGGTATCTACTGATCTATAATAAAATAAAAGAGTCACAGTATGGTAAAAATATTATTATTCTCTTTGTATAAAACTAATACACACAGACATATACACGCACACCTATTTGTGTTTTTGTAGAAAGTGTCTGGAAGGGTACATACCAAACCATTATGTGGTTACCCCCTATCAAATAAGGGGTGGGGTAAGCAGAGAAATTTGTATTTTATAAATTCTGTATGGTCGATTTTTTAAAAAGTAGTATATATTAAATTTATAATAAAAACATATAAAAATGACAAGCCTTGGATACAAAGATATTTATTTTATGTGCATGCTTCTTTTTCTAAAGTAGTTTTTAGAATTTATCCCAAAAGTTACTACTATTGTTTTACCTTCAAAGTTGGCACTAACATAAACATAATACCTTTTGTTTTCTTCTCTTTTTTTAAGATCTTGATGAAACTTAGCAAAACAATTCACAAATAATTACTTTAAGTTACTAGCAGGGGAAGGCCTAATATATATTAAGCTTTAAAGGGAAGATGCATACATTCATTTAAAAAAATCTACGCAATAGAAAAATGAAAATCCTGTGCAACACGGTGCACACTACTTCAAGCATTGATGGAATAGCCTTCACTGAAAATAGACACCACTTTGTAACTGGAATATTAGAAAGTTTTTCAAATAATATAAAAATACCTCCAAAAGATAAGTTATTTAAAGAAAGGAATAAAAATCCCTGAGTAGGCTAAAGATAACAGATACTATAACCTAAGAAAATAGACTATCTAAGACCAGAGAGTACATTATTTAGCCAGTAGGTACATATGTATATGGTGTATGTATTCATATACAGTTATGGAACTATTTTATATATACTATGCATATGATATATATACATCATACATGTACACATCTGCTAGATTTGATTCATCATATTCACATATTGCCAAACTAACACCTAAGTTCAGGAAAGATGAACTTACAAAACCTAAGCACTTTTAGGACAGAAACATGTGTATTTAGGCTAGAAATTTTCATTCTTTTGGTCTTATACTACAGTGGCTAAAACAGGCACTCAATAAATATCTGTCAAATGTATGGATGAATGAAAAGATGAATTTGTGAAACTAGAGCATCACTTTTTCTTATACTACATTATGCTTTAGAAATGTGCTATTCCAAAACCATAAATGTCACACCCTCCTCTAACTGGAAATAGACAACTAGTCCAGACGCTGTGGTACAGCTATTCTGTGTTATTCAGAAAGAACGAAAGCATGCTGGCTTGTTACCCATGCACGTTAACTTCACATTTTGGGTCAAACAAAAATGATAAAATGTTCTTACACTCTGGAGCCCAACATAAACAGACTATCCATGTTAATGCATGTTTTATCATATAATCTATTTCAAATCAGACAAGGTTGCTGACAAATAAATGTACATACAACAGCTAATTTTAAGAATGTGGAGACAATTAGAAACTTTAGGCTTCTTAGGGGTCTTTTTATTCTTTCCTGCTAATGAACTTTTGTGATGAAAACAAAGGAATATCATAGGTTAGTTACTTGTTCTTTTCTTATTTTTAAAGATTTCTCAGCTTGAAAGAAATTCCTGAAAATATATTATTCTTTTTATGTGTTTCCTTTATATTTCAGATAAACTCATAAACTCATAAAAAGTTTTCAAATTACTCACCATAAGAAGACACCAACAAATTATTATGCATTTGAGCAGTAAACATAAGAAAAATCCTTCAAAATTAGTATGTGTTTTTATGAAAAACTTGGGGACAAATAAAAAAAGAGAGTAGAGGAAAGGAGAGGAAAGAAGGTGGGGTATTAAATAATGTAAACCTTGACCTAAAGCAGAATTATCTGTAAGTACAAGTTGGTTGAAAAATTAGCAGAATAGGTATTTGTTTAAAGACTTAAGCAGTTCTCTCCACACCAAACTCATTCTTTGGATTAAATAATCCCATGTGAAGGATTTATGAAACATGTACACCAAAATATACTAAATCTGAAAAGACTGAATATTTGCATCTTGAGAATTTCTTAAAAGGAGCCTATCATTTCTGTCAGTTCACAAAGCTTAATACTTCTTGGGGTGACATTGCACAAATTTCTGGATGTGTGTGATGAAAAGAGAGAGCAAGAAATAGAAAGGGTCAACATCGAAATAGCCTGTATTCTACATTGGCTTTAATTCAGTACATTACCAAATTATGCCCACAAAAGAACCATCATCTTTAAATAGGTCTATGAAAGTGTGGAAAAATAGTGTAAAGACATGGAACTAGGTAAATACAAGGTTAATGGGCCTAGTTTCAATATATATTTATATACACACACATTCACGCCCCTCACGTTTTTTACTGAGTTACCTCAGTAACTCAGGATTCTTTTCATTAATTTAGTTTCATTAGTTCCCTTTTGGACATTGAGATTTTGAGCAATTATAGCATCTGAAGAATAAAGGAATTACACTGCTTGGGCCACAGAGGAAAACAGGTGCATTTGCATTTGGTGAACTCTTATCTTCTGAAAAGTGGCCTTGTTTGTCGGTACAGACAGGACTTCAGCTATTCACACGAAATCTCACAAGACAGCTGGGAAGGAGGTTCAGGGTTCAGACAGTCCAAGCAATGCTCAGAGAGATGTGCTCAGAACAATTCTGAGGTTAACTGGTTCTGAATTAAAATATTTTCTTTCAAGAACCATGAAAGTCAGAGTTATGATATAGATGTTTATAGTTTATGAAAGTGACCATTTTTGAAAAGCAGCAATTTGTTTAGGGAAAGGACAGGATACCAGGTTGGGAGTGCACCGTAGCTAGAGGCATTGTGGCCTGCGGAGAATCACGGGCAGAAGAGATGGTAGAAGGTTCCTCTCTCTGTTTTTCAAGATGTGACTCACTGATGGGCTACCATTCTGTACAGCTCCTATTTCGACCAGCTTAGTTAGATGATATCGTCTGCATTTTACCAGTGCATACCTGTCCGTGATCGTTTTCTCTGTTTTTTACAAAGGCAGTAGATAGGAAATACAAACAAACCTAGGGATTTAAAACATTTAATTAGGATGAGCAGTATTTACATATTTAAAATTTAAGATTAAAATTGTACAATGTAAAATTAAAATTTATATATTTAAAATTTTCCATTTTTATTTATTTTCAAACTATTTAAAAACTATTTATAAATAATCATTATTTAGCAATATATGAACATGAAGAGAGGGAAGACACCTATGCTATGAAATGGATTTACTTCTACAAGATTTCATTCTTTAGTATTTCCCTTTAGCTTTTGCCCATTTTAACACAACCCTGAGTAATACCCATTTAGATTGGAATAATGCTTTCTATCAAATTATCAAACCATAGTCATATCATTTGTATACTATGATATTCACACTTCAGTTTCAGGGAGTATAGCACATTACTTCAGAACACACACTGTGGAGCCAAATGTTGGGTTTGGGTCCCAGTTCTACTACTTATGAGGCCCTAGTAAACCTTAATTTCCTCAGCTATAAAATGCAGATAATAACATCTACTTCCTAATGTCCTGACTCACTGCAAAAACTTAGATGTCAGATACTTTATAATTCTATTTGTCCTGCTTATGCATTACTTGCTAAAAAGAAGTTTGTACGTGAAAAATAATTTTATTTAGCAAAAACCCAAACTATATCTACTATATGGAATGGTCATCAAAGCAACTTTTATCTACAGCATTTAGTTTAAAATTCTCTAAGGCAAAGATTGTCAAAGTGTGATCTCTGAGCCAGCAGTATCAACATCATCTGCAAACTTTTTGGAAGTACCAATACATGGGCTCTACCACCATACTGAGTCAGAAACTGCAGGTAGAAACCAGCAATTTGTGTTTGAAACAGCCATCCAGGCTATTCTAAAGCATGTTAGGGTCTGTGGACCACTGCTATAAAATACATAATTTAATATACTTGTATAAATAAAACTATACAAGTCACTGAAAGGTTTCCTATTCTTTAGTGTTCAAGTACATGTTAGGTATGTTTCTATACACACTGAGGGCATCTTTTTTTATCCAGGGCATTTTTTACTGAACCAAACCAAACACCTAAGAGTATGCCACAGCTTCTTTTCCTTGATGCTCCAATCTGGACTCAGAATTGGACAATTTTAGTTCTAGTCCACTCTACTCTTTCACTAAGATACTAATTGCATTAACCTTGGTATTCAAAGGGGATTAATAATGCTTTGTAAGATACATGAATCAAATTGTTCATAGACTGAAAAAAGTCAGACAAATACATCCTACAGGAAACATACTCCTCTGAATTTTTAAAGAATATATTCATTAGCTATGTAATGCAGGCATGAAATAGAAATCATGCCCACTTAATAAAAGTGTTTCTTACCGATTACAACTGCTATGGCCCCTAGCACTAATCCCAAAACCAGGATTAGAGGTGCAATGAATAATTTTCCAGCTGGAAAACAAAAGGCAAAATAATTTAAAGCATCTCAAAACAAATTTACTGAACAATTACAGCAATGCTTTTAAAATACCATAGTGTATGTTATTTTAAAAGAAGTCTGATTATAATGAAGGCTGTATATCTCTAAGAAATGTATCAAGTGTAGAATAGATATACACATGTGAGCCCAGTAGCTTCACCGAAGTCCTCAGCTCATGCATCCAACATCTCAACAATTGTGTATTCTTTATAGCCCCCCCCAAAAATTCCAAATCAACTAGCTCACTTTATTCTATCAGGACAATCCATCTTTGTGCTTTTATGTTAGATCTTTTTCGTTCAAGATGCTGAAAGATTATGAAAGCAAGCACTGGCACATCCTGAGTTAGCAGGAGAAAACCCAGTTAGCTCACAAAATGGAGAGCAGGTAGGTACTACTGAGGGCTTCTGCCCAAGCCCACATCTAAAAAAGTAGCTTATTTACTTCCTGGGTCCAGAGAAAAGTCAAAATATGAAGACCTAATAGACTAAAGTACAAATGGGATGTTGTAAGACTGTTAGAGAAAACTACCAATAAATATACAACATTTTTAAGGTTACTCAGGTGAATCATTTTACCAAATTGGAAAAGGAAGCACTTATAAAAGTAGAAGGCTAAATGGCTGGTTAAGTATGCCTAGTGATATCAGCCAGAATTTTCTTTTCTAAATGAATAATTAAGGAGTGATGAGAATAAACTCTAGTCATATGTAAACACAAGTGTCCACAATTAGAATTCTACTGACTTTGAAAGACACTAGCGCAAAAAAAGAGGCCAGTAATTAATATCTTGTCACTGTAGTAACCTTAAGGCATGTGACACAGCTGCAGAACTGCACAACCCAAATGCAACAAGCAATGAGAAAGGAACAGGGGACTCTGCAGAAATATCACACAGCTGTGATACCATTCTATGAATTAAAGACAATAATTTGGAATAACCAATTACACAAAAAAATAGAAACATAATGCAGCCATTTGTTGGAAGTTTGTCAGAAAAATATTAACATTTTTATTCTTAAGAAATGGTCTTTGGAACCAGATGACCAGGCATGTATAATATATAGTTTTTAATATTAAATTTAAAAAGATTATCATTCAATTAGCACCATGCCTAACCATGGGCTTTACTTATATTTTTCACCAATGAGAATCCAATTAAGGAATACTATATTGCATTGAACAATTATGTTTAGTATACTCTTAAAGCTATGCTTAAGTTGTTAGCATATATAGGCTTATATATTTTAAAAGAATCTGTTTTTCTTTCATGTACATAGCTCAGTCTGTTTATTCATACTTCCTTTTTAAATAATTATCAATACATTTTCCTAATAGCAATGAAACATGACTGTACAGTAATAGCACTGAAAAGAAATAATGGAGCTCTCTGCATGGTGAAAAAGAGAGGAAGAAATCTCACAGTGGAAACACTCCAGAGGAGTAGGGAGGGAGTTACTGAAAGAAAAAATATTAGGTCAGAAGAACACTATTTCACTCAAAGGTGGTGGCATTAGGCCAGGGTGATTTGATTACGAGCAGGTATCTGAGTTTCTGTTTGCATATTTGCACGTGAGTATGTATCGGGGCTTATGTGTTGTTGAGGAAGAAGTGGGTAAAAAGTCAGTCCACAAAAACATTTACACTTGGATAATCAAACTTAGGTTTGTATGCGCTGAGGACATTTGATACTCATTCCATTAACTAATGATCACATAAACATTAGTTATTACGTATTAATACAATAGAAAAATATATGCAATGACGTATCAATTATAAAGATATAATGAAACTCCATTACAGGACTTTGAAATATGTGGATTTTTTGCCTTCCTAGACCACATTCCATGCTGTACTGTTCTGCATAATTTCCATGAATAAACATAGGATATGTATAAGACATGCTGCTAGATATCATCCATACAAACCTAGATATCATCATACAAACCTAGATATCATCCATACAAAATACAGGTTGACACTGTTTCTCTCATCAAGTGGTTTACAACAGGGTTTCAGGAATTTAAAAGGCTAATGACTTCAGATTTCTGCAGTGTAATTAGTAATTTGCTTTTTAAACAAAAGCTGCTTGCTCATATAAGTAGTGCACTGCTAACAAAACTTATAGTTTTTAATTTTGATTTCAAAGGGTGAGAGAATATGCTCCTCCTGTTGCTGTGGGAAAGGCCCAACTAGAACACCTGGCAATAGCAGGTGCTCAGAATTGTCACAGCTGTCACGTATCTAAGTTCCATTATCACTACCGGACTCCTAGGAAAGACTCCTATAAGCATGTCAGATACTCACCACAGACCGACCCTCGCACCAATCTCCTTAAATGAGGTCTCTCTGGGAGGTAGCGATATTTGCATCCAAATATACTGAGGTTTGATGTGTGGTCTCCAAAGAAACGGAGCTGGCGGTATCTCTCCCCACATCGATAACAAAAATTAGTGTTACATTGGGAGCACGTCATATGGTCACATCCTTCAGTTCTCTGGATGTGGATCTGTAACCACGAAAGAAAGAGAAGGAAAAGGTACTCAAGTTTTTAATAAATAAAATCTAGCAAATGTTATGGAACAACATTTATGACTTTCACCAAAAGAGAAGTCTCTCGTAGCATTCCTGAGGCTGTCGATTTGCTCATAATCACACCTTTCAAGATTATATTTTTACCAAATACTTTTATGCATGCAAAGCTTGGTAACATTTCAGGTATGCAAGCCGTTGTCTTCCTTTGACCAATATATACATAAACACATTTGTCTTTCCAGACCATACACCTAATTCAATGGTTAGGAGGCAATTTAAAATGCTATGAAAGTATATTTTGTTTATGTAATGATCAGCAAGAATGAGGTGGCCTGGGGAAATAAGAAGAGATGAAGAATATTCCTTAAAAGAAGGGATTATGTAAAACTTTTTGTGAATAAATATCAAAAAGCAGAAATCTCTCTTTGCTAAAGGAAATGACAGCAGATATAAATGTATTTGCAATCACATTTTAGTTTCCAACTCTAAAATTATTTGTAAATGTGTGACCTGTTTGTACAATGCCATCTGTACAACTAAGCACCTTCCTCTGTTGCAGTCAAGTTACATGCAAATACAGCTTCACCCATAATTTAAAAAAGATTTTATTCCTGGATAGTCTACCATATGCCCAAAGTGGCAGTCACTGTTGCAAGCACTAAGGTCAAGTTATCAGCAAGATATTACTCTTTTAGATAGAACTGGACATGACTGAGAATCCTCATGTACATCGTAAATAAACCAGAGCCATCTTTCACTCAAACATGTGCACACTTTGTTAGGTGAATCATGATGAAAGAGAAATTAACATCATTTAACTTAACATTATTTCATCAAGAGAAAAATAATTTGGTTACACTGCCCAAATCTCCTGTGATTAAAATGAGATCACCTAAAAGAGTCCTTCCATGTCACCAAGGAGTAGGCGTTTACTATGTTCAAGTTATATCTTCACTCATTCCATATAAATATATATGAGTTCTTTGCTTAGAAATTTTCTTTAAAATGTTTCCAATACCACTTTGATTATTGTAACCATCTATCCATGACGTTGCTCTGGGACTAGAGTGTCAGTGAATGTTTTAATGCAATTGGGAACTTTACCATTAACACACGAGTCAAACCTCCAGGGGTTGTCTCACTCTTGCCAGTTAAGCCTTTGGCCACAGTACACACTTTACATATTTCATTTGAAATTATGTTTTCCTTCCCCTAATACATCGTGCAGTTCTCCAAACTTTTGCAGTAGTGTACTTATAGCTGCATTTTTGAAAAACTGGTCAGTAATTTATTAAGATAAAATCATCCAGGAAAAAGAAAAGAGCTCTGTGAAAAGAGAAATTAAAAGGTAGAGAGATGAAAAAAATGTTGCCACTTTAAAATATAATAATCTCATAAGTTTTAAGAATAAAACATGTTTGAAGTTGCCAACTGTAAAACATACTCAGTATTTCAGTTTTAGTGATAACCAAAATGTTAAACTGCAATTTAAGGAATAATAAAAATTTAAAATGAACTGTGAGACTACTTGTAAAATAACAACAGGTATTAAATCATAGTAATGGTAAAAGTTTAATTAAAAAAATATATGTGTGTGGATCTAATTATCTATCTATCCATCCATCCATCCATCCATCCATCCAACCATCTACCTACCTACCTCTCCGGAGAGTTTCTAGGTGATTGTGACCCTTTTGAAGAAGTAATGATTAAGTTGAAGGCAGCACACATTACAGCAAGCATTTTATACATGGGTAAATGAATGAACCAAGAAAGAAAAGTTTGCCAAGTGGCTGGCAGGCCTGCAGGTATTGGTGCATTGTAAGTTAAATGTCCATTCCCTTCTAGTGGCTGACTGACACTTGGCAGGTAAGCCTCAGCTCCACAGGAAGGATGAAAGGACCTGGGCTTTGACTTCGAAGTCCCCGTGTTTGAAGTCTGGCTCTACTAGCTATTAGAAAAGCAGTCAGTTCACCTCTCCCAAGCCTCAAGTTAGATAATATTCCTTACCATGTAGTGTAAAATGTGGTAATATATGTGCAATGCCTAACCCATTGTTTGGCACATACTGGATTAGACCAATGCAAAGTTGGTCCCCATCTAGCCCTTTCCCTTTACTCACCTAACATGTGAGAAATCAAATGCCCGGGTTGTCCCCTGATTGCCAGGTTGTCCCCTTTTTCACTTCTTCCCATGGGTAATTCTTAGGCTGACGCTGGCCTAGAGAGCACCTTCCTAGGCAGGCCAGGCCAGGGCCAGCTTGTAGTCAAGGGCATATGAGCATTTGGGGTCAAGGGTTCCAACAAATCATGATTTGGGCAATAAAAGCAAAACTGGTGTTTCTTGCTTTTTGCTGCCTTATCCTTTTTCAGTCACACCACATTTTTTTTTGGGGCTCAGAATTGTCACAGCTGTCACGTATCTAAGTTCCATTATCACTACCGGACTCCTAGGAAAGACTCCTATAAGCATGTCAGATACTCACCACAGACCGACCCTCGCACCAATCTCCTTAAATGAGGTCTCTCTGGGAGGTAGCGATATTTGCATCCAAATATACTGAGGTTTGATGTGTGGTCTCCAAAGAAACGGAGCTGGCGGTATCTCTCCCACATCGATAACAAAAATTAGTGTTACATTGGGAGCACGTCATATGGTCACATCCTTCAGTCTCTGGATGTGGATCTGTAACCACGAAAGAAAGAGAAGGAAAAGGTACTCAAGTTTTTAATAAGTAAAATCTAGCAAATGTTATGGAACAACATTTATGACTTTCACCAAAAGAGAAGTCTCTCGTAGCATTCCTGAGGCTGTCGATTTGCTCATAATCACACCTTTCAAGATTATATTTTACCAAATACTTTCATGCATGCAAAGCTGTAACATTTCACGTATGCAAGCCGTTGTCTTCCTTTGACCAATATATACATAAACACATTTGTCTTTCCAGACCATACACCTAATTCAATGGTTAGGAGGCAATTTAAAATGCTATGAAAGTATTTTGTTTATGTAATGATCAGCAAGAATGAGGTGGCCTGAGGAAATAAGAAGAGATGAAGAATATTCCTTAAAAGAAGGGATTATGTAAAACTTTTTGTGAATAAATATCAAAAAGCAGAAATCTCTCTTTGCTAAAGGAAATGATAGCAGATATAAATGTATTTGCAATCACATTTTAGTTTCCAACTCTAAAATTATTTGTAAATGTGTGACCTGTTTGTACAATGCCATCTGTACAACTAAGCACCTTCCTCTGTTGCAGTCAAGTTACATGCAAATACAGCTTCACCCATAATTTAACAAAGATTTTATTCCTGGATAGTCTACCATATGCCCAAAGTGGTAGTCACTGTTGCAAGCACTAAGGTCAAGTTATCAGCAAGATATTACTCTTTTAGATAGAACTGGACATGACTGAGAATCCTCATGTACATCGTAAATAAACCAGAGCCATCTTTCACTCAAACATGTGCACACTTTGTTAGGTGAATCATGATGAAAGAGAAAATTACATCATTTAACTTAACATTATTTCATCAAGAAAAAATAATTTGGTTACACTGCCCAAATCTCCTGTGATTAAAATGAGATCACCTAAAAGAGTCCTTCCATTTCACCAGGGAGTAGGCGTTTACTATGTTCAAGTTATATCTTCACTCATTCCATATAAATATATATGAGTTCTTTGCTTAGAAATTTTCTTTAAAATGTTTCCAATACCACTTTGATTATTGTAACCATCTATCCATGACGTTGCTCTGGGACTAGCGTGTCAGTGAATGTTTAATGCAATTGGGAACTTTACCATTAACACACGAGTCAAACCTCCAGGGGTTGTCTCACTCTTGCCAGTTAAGCCTTTGGCCACAGTACACACTTTACATATTTCATTTGAAATTATGTTTTTCCTTCCCCTAATACATCGTGCAGTTCTCCAAACTTTTGCAGTAGTGTACTTATAGCTGCATTTTTGAAAAACTGGTCAGTAATTTATTAAGATAAAATCATCCAGGAAAAAGAAAAGACTCTGTGAAAAGAGAAATTAAAAGGTAGAGAGATGAAAAAAATGTTGCCACTTTAAAATATAATAATCTCATAAGTTTAAGAATAAACATGTTTGAAGTTGCCAACTGTAAAACATACTCAGTATTTCAGTTTTAGTGATAACCAAAATGTTAAACTGCAATTTAAGGAATAATACAAATTTAAAATGAACTGTGAGACTACTTGTAAAATAACAACAGGTATTAAATCATAGTAATGGTAAAAGTTTAATTAAAAAAATATATGTGTGTGGATCTAATTATCTATCTATCCATTCATCCATCCATCCATCCAACCATCTACCTACCTACCTCTCCGGAGAGTTTCTAGGTGATTGTGACCATTTTGAAGAAGTAATGATTAAGTAGAAGGCACACACATTACAGCAAGTATTTTATACATGGGTAAATGACTGAACCAAGAAAGAAAAGTTTGCCAAGTGGCTGGCAGGACTGCAGGTATTCTAATCATTAGGTGAATTGTAAGTTAAATGCCACTCCCTTCTAGTGGCTGACTGACACTTGGCAGGTAAGCCTCAGCTCCATAGGAAGGATGAAAGGACCTGGGCTTTGACTTCGAAGTCCCCGTGTTTGAAGTCTGGCTCTACTAGCTGTTAGAAAAGCAGTCAGTTCACCTCTCCCAAGCCTCAAGTTAGATAATATTCCTTACCATGTAGTGTAAAATGTGGTAATATATGCGCAATGCCTAACCCATTGTTTGGCACATACTCAATTAGACCAATGCAAAGTTGGTCCCCATCTAGCCCTTTCCCTTTACTCACCTAACATGTGAGAAATCAAATGCCCGGGTTGTCCCTGATTGCCAGGTTGTCCCCTTTCTCACTTCTTCCCATGGGTAATTCTTAGGCTGACGCTGGCCTAGAGAGCACCTTCCTAGGCAGGCCAGGCCAGGGCCAGCTTGTAGTCA